TATGGTTTATGAATTTAACTAAATTTTTCAACGTTTCAAATTTTCAATGTTCAGTTCCGATTTAGATTTCCAATCGGCAAGATTATTTTATTTTTTGTAATTATGGACGTGAACGTTTCCGATATTTTTGAAACCAGACGTGGGAAAAAGTGTGTTGCGACTAACAGTTATAAATCTAGTGAGTTTAGAGACAACAAAGATGCAACTAAAGTTTTTCGTTGCACGAATCGTAACTGTTTATGCTAAATTAACTGCCAATTTAAAAACGGTAATTTCAATAAATGGTGAACATAATCATGACGAATTAGTTGAAGAAACCATCACTAAACAAACAGTGATGTCACTTTTAAAGCGCAAAGCAACCTCTGATTAAAATGTTATATTAATACCCATGTCCTATGTACCCAAACGTGTTACGGCCAATAAAACTACAATAACCGTGGGTAAATAGAGAAAAAAAGGTCTATAAAACCAAAACTACCAGTACAGCTGGTTCACGGTGAACCAGTCGACGATGTATACCGATCGCGCTCCTTGATTTTCATTATGAGAACTCCTGTTGTTAGCAAAAAAATCGTTGCTATCATATTTGCCAGCGGCCACTTTTCATTATCCCGACTTAATTTTTTTATAGTAACATTTGAGATATGAGAACAGTTATTTAATTAACAGTCATTTATTAGAGTAGCAGTTGTTCCAAGTAATGCTACTGATAAGTAATAATAAATAACAACGATAACCATGTCACCGTGGTCAAAACGACAATACGTCAAAACAAAGTTTCGGTTACTATGGATAAATATAGTAATTCACTTCAACATTTATATTTTCACTCAATTTTTAAAACTATAATTTTTATTTTAAAAATTTATTATTATATTAATCATATAAATAATGGATAATCCTCATGTAGACGGGATTGGAATGTTTTCTTTATTGACACGAACCTCATTAGACAAAGTTTCTGAAGATATTAATGTTGAAGTTGGTGTTACAAGATCAGGTTATCAAGGTAAAAAGAAATATAATTATGCCAAAAATATATGAGATATCCGGTAGGTAAGTACTAAGTACCTAACTAAGATATCTTTTATTTGATTTTAGGTCCAGCAATAACATTTGAAGAAGCCCAGAATCAGTCTGGTGAGTAAAATTCAATTCAAAATGTTTTCTTGTATTTGATTTTTAATGTATTTCAAGCAAGTATACTTTTGTAACATAAAAGTAGTGATGTATATAACTATAGTAGTTCTTTAATCTTCGAATTTGTTAAAAGTTCATTTCCCCCTCATATTATTTTTTTTCAAGTTAACTTTAAACTTTAAAGTAGAAACCTTCTTGACTTCTTGTTCACGAGATATTTTTTTCGTTGCACTTTTTGATAACAGGTATTTTATTATAAATTAAATATTATAATTAATTATTTTATTACTTTTATTTATTAGTTTTGGTTTTTTTTTTTTTTACTGTGAAATGTTTTAAATTAGGTAGTATTAAAATTATTGTATCATTGGATACCATTTTCGTTAAATAATAAAATTAAAATAATATTGAGTTATTTTTTCAAAAAATATTTTGTCAGGTCACCATTTTACTGAATATCAGCTGTATACAATAAACTTACCAATGTAAAATGTATAAATATAATTAAAAAAAAAAAAAAATTACTTTTTGAACAAATTAATTTTTAATGAACTGTAGGTATATTTAACTTATTTTTTAAATATATTTATTATTTGTTTTAGGTTTGGCTATAGTGATAATTCCAAACAATACTGTTTACATTTCGTTGATGTATTTCAAATTTAATGCTTGGAAATTATTTTTACTTTTGACTTCGTTACCAAGTTTAATTTCATTCTTACTGATTCGTCGTTATCCGATCAGAAAATTGTAAACCTTGTATATATTTTATATACTTTATAATTATTTTTTTTATACCTTGTTTTTAAAAATATAAATTGTAAACCTTATTGTAAAAACTTAATCTAATAAATAAAAAAACTTGTTTTAAGTATCACGCTTGTTTTTATTTTACACAAAATTATTTAAACAATATCATTCAAAAAAAAAAGAGTTTGCGTTTTACGTTCCGTTTTTGTTCGTGGACTTGCCGCCTGTGGAGTCTAGAATTGATGGCGAGTGGTTAAAAGACGTTGGACCGTCGTTCTCATCAACTGCGAGGCTCGCTGGTTCTATATATTGTGGTGTTATATACCATGGAGGGTACTGTGCGTCATTGTCCAAATTACGCCTACGACGTTTGACTATGTCCGTCTGTGAGGATGGTGCTAGTCCATCGGTATCATCAATATGCTAAACAAATAATAATTTGTTAATATATATATATTTATTTTAAAAATTAAATGTGAGTATTACCAATGACTTGGTTGGTGTCCATGTCGCTTGTGTAGGGTTGATTATCAGATCGTCTATACCACAATCCTCGTCAGCCACCTAAAAAATTATAAAAATTAATATTTAAACTATTTACATTTATAAATCGTAAATTACCTGTACCTGCGAAGCGTCTTCGTGCATTGGCGACATATCCGAGTATTTTGGTGGCGACAAGGGTGAAATGAGCCCCTAACCTAACCTTCGCTCTAGCAGCCGACATGGTGTTGGCGGTGGAAACACGTTTACCGTTAACGCTGGTGGTGTAATATTTAAAATAAAATACATGATCCTAATTAAATAAAATGTGATAACGAATCTTTTTGAAAATCTATTGACCTATCTATTAAAAAAATTTGTTATGAAAAAATCTTTTATTTCGAGCCCCAATAAAAAAAAAAAAAACTTACCTGAATTATCGTTTTGAACTTCTTCATTTTCAAATTCTCCCATTGCTGCTATGCAAATCTCGTCTTCTGACATCATGTTCGAACCACCAGCCGGGATATCGGAGATGAGAATTTGAGGGGCAATCTGTATGTCGCCCTGTGGGGCAACGCGAGGTGCGTACTGTATAACACTCTGTCGAGTGGGTTGAGCAACAACCGGTGCAGGCTGACGATGAGCCGGAACGATGCCTTGGACAAACATTAGATATAAATTAATAATAAAAATAAATAAGTATACATACCATGAGCATTTTTCTCATGCCTCTTAAGGTTTGACATGACACTGAACGATGACGCGCAGATAGTGCACGTGAAACGAACACTATCGTGAGTTTTCCCATGTCTGACTAAATTATCTTTACGTGTGAAAACCGACGGACACTGTTCGCAAATCGCATTTAAACATATTGTTTAAGAAAATGAAAAATTAAACACGAAGACGCATATATGACGGTTTAAAACGTACTGGAGGACTGTTGACTATTTTCAGGATTTATATATACGAATGGGAATATTGATACTTAATTGATATTATACTGTATACGTCCGGCAGAAGGTACTAATATCTGTCATTAATGTGTGTTATTCACTAATAGACATTTTAATATCTTTAGTGTGCGACGTACGTTCTTAATTGATTATCGATGAATTGAATATGGATATGTGAGAGGTGGTGTAGGGATATACATTATAAGTCGGCGACATCCTGGTGACACGAGTCGTGTTAATTATCTAATGACAATTTCTTTACATTTTTTTTTTTTTTTTAATATTCTTTTCCCAAATATAAGAGGGATATACGGCGGGGTGGCCTAGTGGTAGATCATATCTCACGGGAGGCGGTAAGTCCGGGTTCGATACCCAATCAGTTATTTTGCAGTTTTTTTCACTATTTGTTGATTAACGTTCGATAACAAATGATTATATGATAACTGATAACAACTGATAACTGATAAAATATATGTCGCGCACGTACGTGATCGGGCGGTGAGTGGTGGCGGCGGCCAATTGATATGGAAGAGCAGGGTAGCGGGGTATATCGTATACGTCACGGATCGGGCGGCGGCTCAGTTAATGAGATGATGAGGATGAGGATACAGAACCGCTCTTTTTATACTACTGATATATATTGTAGTCTTATATGAATTTGCTTAATATGTTTACTTAATAGTTTATATTTTAAGAAATACCTAATATATAAAAACTTAAAAACAATAATTTTAGCAACTATTAACCTCCTAGTACCTATAATAAGTATACTCAGCTCAGAGTATAGAAAAAGATGTGTGGTGTGGTGATACATATTCCGAATAGTTAAAATAAATACAGACAATCTGAGGTCAGGACAGATATTGTGAACATTGTATTATTTAATTTAACTATTTGGGTATGATCACACGTCACTCACTTTTTAGAAAATTTAAAACTCTGAAAAATAAGAATCGACAAGAATAATAAATTAAAATTAAAGAGCTCTCGTGTTATCGAAATGTTCACTACCGCAATCACTTCTCTTTGTGAATTTACCATACATAAGGGAGATCTAGACAGCTGGACAAGAGCTCAGCAAACGGTTAGGAATATCCGACACTCAGAGGCAGGTCGTAACACTACTCACAGTTTCGTTTATCAGTATTTTTAAGTCTAATCGTCACACCGCTCACCTAACATCTTTTGCTTAAACTCATTGTATTTCTATATGAGTTGACTATTAAAATAAAGACTCAATAATAAAACGTTTAAACATTATGTATTAATTCTAACTTGATGTATGAATCGACATTGAACCGGGACACAACATTATTGACTAAGACTATAAACAAACATACAGTCAATAACAATTTAGTGATTAAAAAATAACAGGGTTGTGAATGTTGTGATAAAGTACATATATTTACTATTTAGAAAATAGAAATAAATAATACATAATGAAATCTTATATCTTTATAATTTCATTACTTTTATGAAGATAAGGTACGGACATCACTTAATCTTATATGGTATATATATATATATAATATTTATACATATAATCTAACCTATCTATAAACCTTGAATATTATCCACTTGGCTACCTAGGCAACGCCTATTATTTTACGTAACTTTTTTAAATGATAAAACTCGGCAGACTGATAAGAATAGTGGCTTTTGATAAGACGATACGTGTGAGATAATCAGATCAGTAAAACATTAAACGAGTAACAACTTTAATTTCGAAAAATATCATTTTTTTCAGTGATATAAGTATATAAGACAACATGAAGATTAAACCTATTACTTATTTTGTAAAATATTTTACCCATCGCAATTATTATTTGCGTTCGCTGCTGCCTGATGTGATTAAAGAAATTTGGAAGAGATTAGTAGATTCTCGCAATATGTTATCTTCGGTCCGCACGTAACAAGTACAAGGATACCTGCAAGGCTTCGAATTGTCATAACAAGGAATCAAAATCATATAAGTATAAGGGAGTCTAGAAAGCAACAATGGCAGGTGTACCAGTGCCACAGAAACCTGAGCACCTTCACAACACTCGGCCACTTTTTGTATTAGTTACATGAACTTTATTTATACTAATAACTAATAAACACATTATTGTTCTTAAAAGTTGTAATTTTCATTTAAAATAAACACCCTGGACTTATAAAAAAATCTGATATTGGCACGCAGCAATTGTAAGAATGTTATGACCAATTAATAGAGTATTCATAAGAAAACTATACAACTTAACATTACAGAAATTTCTGACGTACATGGACAATTTGGGTAAAGAAATTCTAGAGGCATGGAATAATAATGAATAAAAAGTGAAAGCATTGAAAATAGTCATGTGAGTATTTATTGGTTTTGGTTATTTTTAATATTTTTAATTTGTTTATACATAGGTAAATTTTTTCTTGTTTTAGATCTATTTAACTTATTTGAAGATTCAGTATTCAAGATACTCCACTCTAAATAAGAAACAATTAAGTATAGAAATAGTCACATTATAAAACATATATATATATATGTATATTAATTATAATTTTATATTTTAGTAGTTGAGTAATCACTAATCAATCTTCTGGATAAATTTACTACTAACATGGTATCAGATGCAACAAATGAAACTTTAAAAATTCAGTTTTTTGAAATTGGATCCATCCTGATGTTTATAGATTCAAAGCAGCTAAAAAATTTTACTCTATTAAAACTTATACAAATCTATAGTATTGATTTTAAAATATACAGATAAATCATGCTTTAAATAATAGTGATGACTGATTCTGTATTGTCATCTATCGTATAACACTGTTGTTATTATTGTGAGCTCAGTAGGAAACTAACTTGCTGTAGTAATAACATATTCAAATAATATTTTCTTATAAATTTTCCGGGACAGTCATATAAGACAATAATGTCTACAAAATTTAATTCAGGTGACAATTGTGTATGGTTATTGATAGACTATACATTAATAGAATAACATTTTAAATACAAAATATTATTTCCAACCATTTCTATTATTTTTTATTTGAAACTTATACTGTGTTTGACAATAAATGTCTATATTTTAATTATTTTAAAACTACAGCCAAGCATGTTCCAATTTCCCAAAGACAGAATAATATTTAAAATCTGGTTATTAAACTTACTAGTTACTATTCAATATTTATTTTAAATTTATTTAAAAATATTAAATCACTAATTTAAGTTATTATTTCAAATATTTATGTCAGTTTACTCACTTTTTGTTAAATAGTTAAACAGCAGATTGCCTATAGCATTTTAGCACGGATGAACAACTTTTTATTTATATTTGTGTATTACAATATTTTAAAATTTGTATTAAAGTATATTAACTATTTGTTTTTAATAATTGATTTAAATTATGGTTATTACAATATTATAAAATAGGTGATAATAGTTTTTCCTATTCAATCTTAGATTTTTTTTTTTAATTTATAACAGTACTATATCATAGTAAACTTCTTATTTTGACCACCTCAATCAATTTATAAAAATAGAATTGTTATTTCACAGGAAATATAATTTCACATGATACCAACCATACCTATTGAAAAGTTAATAATTAATATTTTAATAGCCGAAAATTGCTGTACTATGGTTTATCTGTGTATTATAAAATCAGTGGTTATAACTTATAAGTATCAGTTATCTATTAGTTACATGATATGCATAATATTACTATTGAAAAATGGGTATTTTGGATGATCTGAATAATAAGTATGTTAAAGAAAGTGTAAAGATATCTTATTGACATCGATACATAAACAGGTAAATTAAAATATTTTTTTTATTGAATCAATTTATTGAAATCTATTATAATTAATTTTGTTTTTTAAAAGTTAAATAACATATGTATTTATAAAGATTTAAACACAAAATACGAACATAGTCAATTATTTTCAATTCTTTTGTCAGAAATTAGATTAACTGGCATGGATATAAATATCATTGGTGAAGATCCACACAAGCTCAAGGAGATTGTTTGGTGGTGTATTTTACAAAATCTTTAGCAGGTATATTATTTTAAAATCATTATTTATATTTTAAAAATTATTTTTAATATTATAGATTTATTTTTAGTGACTCTACAATGAAAGCAGAATATTTTATTAATTTAGTAACAAAATGGGAATATTGCAGTTTGTTTCAATATTTTAATTGTGTCTTAACCATAGAAGTATATATATGTAACTAAATGGCTGTCTAGTTATTATTATAAATCAATCATTATTTGATAAGCAGAAAGTTTTTACTCAGATGTATACAAAAATGTAAAGATTACTTAACTTATATATTGCGGTTAATTTTAATCAATATTAATATTATACAATATAAATATTAATACCTACGTTTGGCTTTAATTAATTTAGTATATATTTTTACACTATTTAATAAATTATAATAAAATCAAGTACAAAAATAATTAAACATTTCTACCATTGTGAACTCATTTAAAACAAGAAGTTTTCATGACGAGTATATTAGAATTTATTAAACAGATTAAAATAAATAAAATTAAAAGTATCAAATATAAAAATAAAATATGCTATAATAAATTATAAATTATTAAATCAAAATGTTACTATACAATTAAAAAAATTGCTGCTAAAACAAAAATTATTTGAACCACACGTATGTACTTGAAATTTAAGGGGAAGTTTTTTTTTAAATTTAGAAACAACTTACAATCTGATATGACCTAAAAAAAATGTAAGATTGACAAATCAAGTATGTGTAATACACTGATCACAATATTCTTTTAATTAATGAAATATATAAATAAAATAATAAGCAAAAATTAATTGGATCAAATTAATTTGAATACATTTGGTACTTTAAATTAATTAGTACCCAAAACATTTAAATTAATTTAAATAAATAAAATACTTCAATTATTAACTATCATGAATTATAGTAATTATACCTTGGATTTATTATCATTTAGAAAAGAGAGATGTGCATAAATTGAATTTAATATTAATACTAACCCATAATCCTTAAAACTAATAACTATTTAATTATAAACATGATGATTAACTATTAATTCTCTATTATGTAATACTTTTCTAATACTCTTTTCTAAAGAGTAATCGTTTTAAAAAAAAAAAAAGTATATACAAAACATAATTTATTATTTAATATAATCAATATAATTATTTTAATGTTATAATGATACATTTACACATATATCTTATTTTACAGACACAATTGGCATTCAAATATTAATTCTACACTTTGATGTAAAAGCAGACTTCATTGATATCATTATGCCAAGCATGATATGCTCAATTTCAGGAAATTTTTGGAAAACAAAACAATTCTTAACGATCATGGAATCTAAGATAAAAGCATAGCTTTGTTAGAATCTATCAAATGCTTCTATATTGTCAATATTTTTCATATTTTGTTACAGGAAAAATGATATTTTACATTTCATGTACTATAAGTTGCTTTAAATATTAAAATATAGGTTTAATATATGTTTAGCTTTTAAGTCACAAATACAGGTAAAAGCATAAAATGTTTCCATCAAATGAGATATTGATTGCTATCCTTTAAACCATTAATTTCTATTTATATATTATGTTTATATTAAAAGATATTATGCAGTTCGCTTTCATTTTTTTACTCTAAACTACACATTATTTTAAAAACTATTAACATTCTTTTTAAATAATTCTTTTATATAATTTACAGTTAAAAAAAAATAATAATTTTTTTAAAGTTCTTAACTTTTTTGAATGACAACTAAATTTTTAATTTAATATTTAGAAGCAAAATATTTTACAGGGTATTTTTAATTAAAATCAAAATTCAGATGAGTAGTTAATAAGTAATAAAGTAATTAGAGTTTTAGTGAATAGAGTAGTAGTCTAACATCTTATGTAGTATCTCTAAACCACTACACTCTAAACACCTAAACTTTAAATACAACTCATAAGTCATTGAGTAATTATTTGTTTGAATTTTGGTATTTATAAATCAAAATATTCCAATAAATATTCTGTTTCAGAATATGAAATTAAAAATATATATTTTTATTCACAAAAATTAAAAATTTTAAATTATAATTTATAACAATAAAATCATTAAAAAATGTTATTTTATTTCGATTGTAAATTATATAAAAGAAATATTTTCAAAAATGTTTACAGTTTTAGTATACATTGAGTATATGCTGGATATAATTTTTTTTTTTTTTTTTTAAATAAAATTTGAAGCATAACTAATTACTAATACTGTTATATTTAAAAAATATGTATTAGAACATGCCTACTTATATGTTACAATAAAAAAAAAGATTAATTGATTAACTAGATTTAATTTATTGATTTAACTAGATATATATTCTATCTTATTTTTAATGTTTAAAAACTCGATAAATAATTATCAATGTTATAAAAATATTATTTACTTGTAAATATTTTTCTCTCTATATTATGTCATATTAGACCAACTTGCAATTTATTATTATTACTCAAGTATTATTTTCATGATATAATTAATAATTATGCAAAAGTGATTTTATTAAAGTTTATTATACACTGTTTTTCTACAATACCTTGGCTTTTAAATAAACTTACATTTCAGCTTTTAATGATATAGATATTATTCTGGTGAAATGTATTTCACCCATTAATGCCATTAATGAATTTAATCTAAAATTCTGATGTTATTAGTTGTGAATTTAAAGTAGATTTTTATTAATTTGAATTAGCTAAAAGTTTATTTGTTAATTGCAACACTAACTGGAGCAGTAATAGCTTAAAAAAAAACTTTTTTTTTAGAATTATATTTATTTTTGTATTTTTTCAGAAACGTTTATAGTTCAAATGTGTTTTTTTTCTGGTTGGCAGAAATTTATTTTATTGGGACATAAATTAAATTTTTTTTCTAAATTCATATTTCTTTTTTATGGCTTTTTTTAAATTTGATAGTTATTTAGGAATAATTATGACAAATTACAAATGTGGAGGGAAGGGTTAGAAATTAAACTAATATTTAATTTAAGTATCCATTTTATGATCTAGTACTATTTCATATTAATGGCCCTCCTAACTACTGTATTCTAATTTCTAAGGAACATTTTATAGGCAACTTCTTATACATTCGGCAATCAGCCTTGTCGTTGTATTAGAGGAAATTATTGGTATAGTAATCTGCATACAACAATATTTCACTCGTTACTCACCTAATCAAACCATTCATATTTAGAAGTCAGTCACAGCAGTCTAGCGGTATCTTCTTGGTATAAGTCGTGTTTATTTTTTGATCTGTCCATAGTAATAATAATATTATATTCTTTTATTCTTATTTTTACACATCTCCGCGTGAAGATTAATGTATTACTAAATAAATATAATATAGACATTGCACATATAAACAAATTAATAACTGCATAATTAAAGTAATATTTTACTGAATTTAATAAGTAAATAATAATAAAATGATGATTTATACATTATACGTATATAACTAATAACTATACATTATGACAACATTTACTTGTAATAATAACTAATTAATAATAAAAACGTATAGAAATATTTTTATTTGAATTAAAAATATATTATATCGTTTTTATTATTATTATTATTATTATTATTATTAAAGGCCACAAAATTTAAAACTTATAAATAGTTATTTTGATGGAAATATTATTGTTACGACTTACGAGTCATGGAATATAATATGTATATTGTATATACATTTATTTCATAACTAGAGTTCAGATTTTTGAAGTCTTTCTTTTTAATAATAATAATAGAAAAATAATTTTTATATAAAAATGTGTGTCATTTAATACTTAAGACGATGGGTGTATTTTTTTTTTGTTTTTTTTGTATTTAATTTTTAATGGATTTGAATTTGAAAGTATTATACACAACATGCGTATTAACAGTATAAATCGATAAGATCTGAAGATGACGGTTCATAATGCGTATACGTAAATACTAGATTCAAAATTGTTCGGCGGTCTACAATTTTATTTTTAATACAAACTAATTAAAATATACTATGTTAAGTATATATAACTATATATAAACAATATCGTCTATATATATATAGTTTATATTCATAGTTTTTTTTTTATAGTTTTTTTTTTATAGTTTATTTATTTTTGTTTTTTGTTTTATACCATTACCCGGGAAAATAGGGGTTTAATAAATATGGTAGATAGGGTAACTTTATTTGGCATATTACTAGAATAGACGATAATGATGCGGAAATATATGATAAAAAAATTGAAAAATTACAAACAAGTCAACATAACTTACTAAAAAAAAACTTAAAAGGTTTTTCTCATTCATTGTTATGTAGAGTTTATATGTTATAGAATTTAAGTCCCCGGTTTTTTTAAGCTACTGCGTTCACAATATAAAAACTGCTATTATTTGTGTTAATACTATAACACATACTATAATCACTATAATGATAACACATAACAAATATTCATCGGACTATGGAAAACAAAATATAACAATTAAGAACTCGAGAATTTTGTTTTAAACTTTGTAATACTAACAACTGAACTATGACTACGAATAGCAAACCTCCCAAAACAAAACGCGTGAAATCAGTTAAATAAATCGGCATTCATGTTATTTATTTATGTATTATGTCTTTACTACGACGGTTTCTACCCTAAAATTGTATAAATAAATTATTATCATTATTTGACAGTATTACATTTTTTTTTTACTATTGAATTATTTTAATGTTATCCTTAACTTTGTCATAATATTGTTGTTTTATAAAATTATTATATATTATGTTTAATATATTTATATATATATTGTCATACTGCGATATATTTTTGTAAATATATTATTATATTTGTAACTATTGAGTATTATTTTTTATAATTTTTATGAGTTTGTATATACGTGTACATTATTTTGTTATACTATTTTTTTTGTACCTAATTACATAATTAATAATTTTTTTTGTATTCGAATAATATAATTATCTTATATTATCTAATTATTTCAATCAATTTGAATATTTGTTAAGTTATTGAAATTAGTGCGTTTACAAGCCGATAGGTACGTGTAAAACGTTTTAACATCCGAAAAAAAATAATGTACCTAGACTACGCTGTTTTGGAATTGTAAAATTGTTATATTTATGTAATTTTCAATAATATTCACATACCTACGTAGTGGAAAAAAAAAATAATTGCTAACACACACACATACACGCATACACGCACACACACGCATACACGCACACACACACACACGCACGCACACGCACACTCTCACACACACACACACACACACAGATGCATCCCTACAATCGGTCGCATTATATTTTTTTTGCCGCCACCATCGATGAGCGCAGCCAAAATCATGTGACATATTAAAATATGTTATCATATTTTATCTGAGCAATCCTATGAAAAAAAATATGGATATATTCAAAAACATATGTACAGAAATTAGCACATTAATGTTGTACATACAACTTGATTTCATTTACACAGTTTTTAATGTACAATTAAAACGTTCATCAATGTGTTGGAAAAAAAATTAAACTGCGCACGACTATGCTGGTAAGCGAATAGGTATTGCTCTACGGTCGAGTAACAATGTTCGGATTATTTACGCGAGTCACAAGTTCATGACGGGTGTTGGGTGTACATTAATTGAGAAGTATTGTAATCGACACGACAATAGGTCGCCACCCGGCAGGCGCCCGACGTGACTATTTTGTGTATCAGAAACAGGGAATGGTCTTTGTCGAAGTCGCCGTCCATTTTGACCGGTTTGGCCGTGTCGTCTTTTTCAGTTTTTACCAGTACATGCACACCAGTCACATAAGCAACACCTGATCCTGCAAGCGACAATTGAATTTTTTTTTTTTTAATTAGTTAAATCAGTGTTGTATTTATTTGGATTCACGTGTTCAGAGAATTTTTTAGTTGTGTCACATTACTTTTTTAATGAATATAATATACATGGATATATATACATAGCTACGAGTCAGGTAAGGCGCATGATCATAATATTATATATTCTTTATTATTATGTTATTGTTAATATATTAATTTTATATTACGATGTATTTGATCAAATTCTCGAGTACATAACTTCGATATCCATATTACAACATTAATCGTGGAAACTTAAACTCTTACACTTATTATTGCAAAAAAATGTAATAAAATATAATGATAATTATAAAAACAAATGATTTTGAGTACAAATAGTATAATTTATAGCCTCCAGTATCATATTTATTAAATATTTAAATTTAAGAATAATTATATAGGATTTCAATTTTCATACATATGTATTTATGTATGAATACAGTAATGCTCTATGAAACATTGCTAATATGTTTTGTTTTAATATATGAAATTATATTGATCAAGTGAGGGCAATAGTGTTTAATATTTTGCTTAATTTTGGTGTGAATATCATAATAAATGCATGTAAGTGATGTAATACACATAATATATTAAGAATAAAATTAAATGAGTTTGAGCACAATGGGCAAGCCACAAGGGCAATAGCACGTTTATATAAATAAAATATAAATAGTTTTAATTTGTATATATTAGTACATTATAGTCATTACCA